ATGAGTCTATTCCAGTTCCAAGCAGTAAAGACACATCAGGTAATGAGTTTTCAAGCACAATTTCTGATAATGTTACCATTACTGACCATGATATTGAGTTACCTATTGCCTTGAAGAAAGGAATTCGATCTTGTACTAGACACTCTATACAGGATGATATTTCATTCAGCAACTTGTTTTCAAAGTATCATGCATATGTAAGTAAGCTTGATGGCAACTCCACTGAACCTAAAACAATTCATGAAGCCCTTACACTACCAGAGTGGAGAGATGCTATTCAAGAAGAGATCAGGTCTCTAGAATAGAACAAGACTTGGGAACTGACAGAACTTCCACCTGGAAAACACAAAGTGGGGTGCAAATGGGTATTCACTACAAAACACAATCCTGATGGAAGTGTGAATCGATTCAAAACTCGTCTAGTGGCTAAAGGCTTCACTCAGTCCTACGGGATAGACTATCAAGAGATATTCGCCCCAGTGGCTAAGCACAACACTATCCGAATATTACTCTCTCTTGTTTCTAATCTTGATTGGCCTCTCTGTCAACTTGATGTAAAGAATGCATTTCTCAATGGTAATTTAGAAGAAAAAACATATATGGAAGTCCCTCCAGGCCTTGAGACCACATATGAATCTCACAAGGTGTGCAAACTCAGAAAGGCACTCTATGCTCTAAAACAATCTCCGAGAGGTTGGTTTGGCAGATTCACCAAAGCAGTCAAACATATGCGCTATGAACAGTGTCAGTCTGATCGTACTTTGTTTGTCAAGAACAGTGCCTCTGGTAAGAAAGCGATTCTAATTGTTTACATTGATGATATTATTTTAACAGGTGATAACATAGAGAAAATTCAGAAAATCAAAACTTTTCTTGCCACGTAATTTGAAATTAAAAGATCTTGGAGCACTAAAGTATTTTTTGAGAATGAAATTTGTTCGTTCTAAAAAGGGAATATATGTGTCACAACAGAAATATATTCTTGACTTGCTGAAAGAAACAGGGATACTTGGATGTAAACCAACAGAAACACCCATGGAAACGACTACAAAAGTTGAAT